CGATTGAAATATCGAGATATCAAATTCATTGGTATACACTTCTATTTAGAAATTGAAAATCTACGTCGGAAAATTTCAATTTATTATATCGTATAACTCATGAAAGTTAACTTACATTCTCTCATAGAGTTGTAAGACATTTGAACGCTCAACATCCACCATTCCATTCCTCAAACATGTCCACTCTTCATGAACCACGAATTACCAATAAGTATTTAGCAACGTTTTCAACAAACCTAAACATACTATTCCCGAAAGACGTTCTCACCGAGAACATACCATTTTCTCCGAATCAGAAAGAAAATCACAATACTCAGTACAATGTGTATTGAACTTTGGAACTTTCCTAAGCCTATTATCTGAAAAGACGACGCGCCAGAAAAATCACCCGGAGACATCGTCGCGAAAGCGGCGCGTTAACGATGCCGAAGTCGATCCGCCATCACAATGCAATCAATCTTCTACGGCGTACGCGAGCGACCGAGGGGGGCATTACAGTCCGTTGAAATTCAGGCTATCCGCGGAACTGAATTATGACGTTCGAGCGTTGCCCGAGCCGCGATCGCGCGCTGGCATTCCCGAGGTTTCAGGAACGCGGGGACGATTAATTGAATTCCGCGGGTCCGATTCGCCGGCAGCGCTGAAAACTGGCACTCAATCTCATTAATCGAAAGCGCCGCGGAATGTCGTAAGAGGCAGCGGCTCGCGCTCGCGCGCGCGAAACGGTGTTTCTCCACGCGGAGACGTGCGAATCGTCGTTGGCCGCGTGTGTATGCGAAACGCCGCCGCCGCCGCCGCCGCAGCGACGTCCGTTCGTCGTCACCGGTAATCGATTACCACGGCCGGATTATTAAGCGTCCAGCTCCCCGCGAGCGAAGAAAACGCATCGGGCACCGCGAGGAGGTCAAAGGGACACGGGTCGGGACGCGACTTCTCTCCGCGGAAACTCGACGGACGATCTCACGACGCGCGCGAACCATCGGGAGCTCTACGCGCATCGCCTGCGCCGGCGTTCAAGTTTCCCGGGAACGAAACCGCCGCGCTATTAATTCTTGTGTCAGTAAACGATTTTTTGGGGGACTGGGGTTATTTGCTTGATTGATGGTGTTTTTAGGCAATTAGCGTCGTTTATGCTTGAGTGGTCTCCTAATGGTCGGAATCTGTTCATCATTGAAAACTTTGTAATTCGAGTGTATATGTTTAATATAGAATTAATATTTCTTTTTGACTTTGTTAGGTTTCTGTTTGTTTCCTTGATGATTTCGTGAAATTCTGGATCAACGGGAAAAGTAATTCTACTTTTATATGGCATTTTAAAACCTCGAACAGTAATAGTTACGGAAAACTATTTTTACGGGTGATACTATTAGAGTATCGAGTAAATCGAGATTATCTTTAGAATAAAAAACTGACCTTTCTCCTTTCACCGAACGCTGACCGGACCCACATAATTCTTGTCGTCATCAATTTAACGACCGCGAGGTCCAGCGTTCTCTGGATCTTTCATTAGTTAAATTACAATGGGGAAGGAGGTCGCAGCGTTGACAACTGCAACGACCCCGGCCACTCGAGATCGTTGGAAGGAGCCGTTTCACCGGTGAAGAGGTCACCGTTCGCCGGGTAAGAGAGGACGATAAATCTTGTTTCCTTCCGTGTCGATGGGCAGACACCTTCGTGCGCTCGAAAGAATGAGTTCATATCTTCGGGGGCAGAATCGAGTTCATATTAGCCCCATCTGCCTTCCGCCTGGAGGGGAGAAGGGCTTCCGCGTGAACGGTCGCGTACACAGGGACGACACGGCGACAGACAAAACGTCGTGGATCGACAGGACGGACGCGCGTAAATACATCCGCATTACGTTCGGCCAATTGATCACGAATCTGGCGACGCTTGCCGCGCCTCTCTTGTTTGCTACACATCGACGGACATACCGTCGAGCTCTTTCACGCTGGCTCCTCTCCTGCGCTGCCAGAAGTCCGATAAATTATTTATGACCACGAGAGAAAAAAGTCTGCGTTCTTTTCTAGTTTGCTCGGCGCACCGAGTGATCTACAAGCAGCAACATTTGTTCAGGTTCGTTTCAATCTGTGAGAAATACGGGATTTGTTGCGATGAAACGTGTTCAGAGAAAATAGGAAGGATCACCGTTGAAAGAGGGAAATTGTTTAAATTCTGCAATAGATGGTTTTAATGATCGAAAATGAGGAAGGCTTTATAGAGTACTAAATATTGGACGACAGTGAGTTCTTTTCGCTAGTTCTATTTAATAAATTAACCAGTCAAATAAAATGAACCGCTGGGATCACCGAGTAAACGGTGCTATCAAGTTTAATTGAATTACACTCGCATAAAGCAGAGATAAAAAAAATGGATAAAGACAATAAAAACTGTTTGCACGAGTACACGGGAAAAAGAGAAACGTGTACGAGGCGAAGATTCCAATCGACTTCTCCGCTCCTCGCGTTTTATTGCGAATAAACGACAAACCAGCACGCCGTAATACGAATTAGCACTACAGAAACATCGGTGCGCATCGGCAGGATATTACTCAACCGTGTTCCTTATCGATTCCGAAACCCGAATTTCCATGAACGCTTAATAGAATAAATTTCGCCGCGCCGTGGACAAGGTCTCAATCCCCTTTACGATCCATTACCGGTCGGCCGATCGAAAGCCGGCGGCTTTCGATCGATGACACACACCGGATCGCAGTGGAATCGGAAGATCGAGCATTAGAGTGACGCAATTCTTACGATTCCCAATTCCAAGGCGTGTACCGTCTGAGAAACCGTCCGACACCGTCATCCACGGCTATCTAGCTCGTAAAAAAGACAAAGAAGAAAGAAACGAAAACGAAGAAGAAGCGATAAAGAACGAACGAAGGAAAGAAAGAGAAAAAACAAGAAGGAGACAAGGAATCCGTAGGATCGGTTCGAACGTAGCGGACTTTCCCAGATTTGTAGCCGCTTCTCCGGCATTATCTCGATAAAATGAAATCGGTCGTTAAACGAGGAAGCGAGAGGCTCCGTCGGAACCAGACGAGGAAGGAGGGAGAAAGTAGAGAGACGCGACCACAAAAAGCACCGGGCCAAGGAGGATTCATAGGGTCAAGGGGCGCGGGGCGGAGGGGTCGAAGGAGCAAGGTAAGAGAGAACCGCGGCAATAATGCGGCGTGGCGAGGGCAGAAGGGGCATCCGGGGGGATCGAGAGCAGCGGAGGGAGGGAGGAAGAAGCGTTTTACGTTCGAAACCAGTTTCTATGGTTTAATTTTTACGGGTGGACATCTTCTTTAATTTATGGCGCCGTCCAACCCCGTCCTTCCTGCCCTCTCCCTGCTACGCTCTCCGGACGCCTTTCGACATTTTATTGGGTCGACCAGTTTCTGTAACTCGCCGGATTCCCGGCTCGCCGCGGAAACACCGCGGCCCGATGGGGGAATCGGACGTGATCCAATCGGAGGAACACGGGATCCTCTTCTTCGCCCACCTGTAGCCCCCATTCCGGTTTCTAAATCGGCTTTCCTCGGGACCGGCGCGATTAGCCGGTGTCTAATTGCCGCGGCGTGGAACGGAACGGCCCGGAGCAGAGCAGAGCAGAGCAGAGCGGAACGGAGCGTCGCGATTTCGCAAGGTCGAGCCGTTCCCAGCCGGCCGCCACTGGTGGAAGCGACAAGATCGACGGTCCCGCGCCTCCGTCCGGCTTCGACGCGGTGGTTTCTTCCTCCTCCACCCCTCGCCGCGCGCGCTCGCTCGCGCGTGTTTATCGGATCTGTACGTTAATTGAACCAGCGAGCGGGTAATAGCTATCATTACGAGCGCTTACGTCTTCCAGGCCAGCAACTAAATTATATGGGTGAGCCGAGCGGGGTGCGCGCGAGCGCGTGTGCACCGCGTTGCCGGCACCGAGATCTGTTTCCTCGATAGAATTTTGGTTTTCGAGCTTGGGAAATTGGGCACTGGGATGGCTCAAATGGTGATTGGGCCGGAGTAGCGCGGAGATGTTTGATTGGTAATGGAGTTTGAGTTTTTGTTGCGATTGAAGTCGAGGTGGATGGGGTTTCTTGGTATTGTTGTGTACCGATGCTTGGGAATGTATGGTTTAATTTGTTTCGTGGGGAGTTTCGTGTTAATCATTTCAAAGATTTCGTAGATCTATTGGGAATCGTTGAATTATTCTGGACTAATGGTATTATTCACTGTGAATGTGACTGAGATGACGTGGGCTCTTTAATTGTTAAATTTTTCTTCGGAAAGAGGAAGACACAAGTAGAAAGATGGACGCATAGAAATATTTGCGCTCGGTAGTACCACTATAGTATACGACCGATAATTCCTGATACACCGTCGCAGAAAACCAAATGCTGTTCAGAAACCTCCACGGAAATCCAAGTACGTTTCCGAACAAGCCAACAAAGCCTCTCAAATCCTTGTCGGAAACGTAACACAGAACCAAAGTAAATTCAACAATCAACAAGAAACAAAAGATCCCTCTAACACATTCTCACCGTAAACAACTAACTCCTACAACCATCCAACTATCACTGCCTCTCGATAAAATCCCTTTACAAAAAATCCAAGAAGGAAAAGAAACTCAAGGAAACAAAAGTTCTGAAGCCGCGTTCACCGCAAGCTCGCCGCAAGGAGGCGAACCCGAGTGTTTCTCATGCGAAGATAGGAGGTGATCGCCGTGCAGCCGTACGATCGGCTCCCAACGGGGGCCCCGCTGGGACAGCGCACGCCGCGCGGCCAAACAGCTCGGAGTGGAGGATCTAGAGATGCTCAATAGTGGGGGTGAGATGGGCGGCGCCTAACCGGTCAGCGTTCTGGGACCGAGCGCGCGGCGATTGGCGGAATGATTGGGCCCGAACGGAGCCGATTGGCTGTTCGGCCGGCAGGCGTGCACCGATGGGCAGGTTCAGGTGTCTCCCTGCCACCCGGCGGAAAATCGGGATCCCGTTCGGTACACGGCGCGCGGCTCACCTTAGGCGCCTTCGATGCAGTCGAACAGGTCGCAGCGATCGCGAAGCGCCAGTCCTCTCCCGTCCATCGACGTGGCCGCACCGTGACTCGTGGATGTTCGAGAGAGACAGACAGCCCCAGCCAACAGACACCCAGTCAGTCGAGCCAGGCCACGGCTGAGGGAAAAATTTTAGTCGGAGGATCGGGGACGCCGCGAGAAAGAGAAAGAGGGAGAGAGATAGATAGAGGAGGGAGAGGCAGGCAGGCGGGAGGGAAGGAGAACCGCTCGGAAGCCGCTTGGCCGGGACTCGCGTGGATCATCGGCGGCGATCAGAGGTCATTCGACGGATTTGCATCGAGGTGAACGGTTCACCGGGGACTCCTGTCGCGTGTCCTTCGAGGGGTGTCGAGTAATCGGCACGATCCAGATCCGGGCCTGTAGCCAATCGTTCCCGTCCGAACATTAGTGCAGGCCGCCGCGGTGTTGACCCACGCCACGTGACAGCAAGTCGAACTGTACGGACTGAAGTGTGTGCGACCGGTATTCACGGACGATTTTATTTACGATTCGGAAAGGTTCTCGGTGGTAACAACCAGCGGACGCGGTCGAGGGTAATGGTGTGTTGTATCGTGTGACCCGGACTTTGAACGATCGGTTGGATCCTAAAAAGAAGGTTGATTTATTGAGTTTGTGGTGCCGACTGATACCGGGTGGCCAGTTTGTTTTGGATATCGTTGGACTGCGAAGGTGAGTGGACTTGTTTCGATATGGTACCTCTTATGCGGCCGTTGATGTCTCCGGTTGTTAACGAGTTCGCGTCTCTTTGGTTTATCATGGATGTCTTTGATAGAGTCGTCGACCTTACGCTTTGATGTACGGTCTACTTGAATGCATCTGCTGGATAAGAGTGGGGAAATATGGGAAAATTTTCGGCTGTACCGTGGAGCCTGTACTCGTGAAAGGCGTCAGGGGGTGAAAAAGGCTAATGACGGTTGTAAAAAAACTAGGGAATAAATCATGCGCGTTCAGCCGGTAATCAACGGGGTTTCGTCAATCTTACAGCCCATTCACCGCTCCATTTATCCCTCGTAAATTAATGTCTACATCCGAAGTGGCCGCGTTTGCTCGCGATTATACCGCCGCGTGAAATTGATAATGTAACGTAATTGCCGTGCGGCCACGCTTGACCATTGAACGCACACCGGCGGATAGCAAAGTTTGATTGGAATATAATTATGCGGACGTTAAACCGTGTAGATCCTTATCTCTATGACCCGCCACAAAAAGTCTCGGTGTTTTCGTAGCTTTGCGGAGGATTTGTTGTGCTTCCGCGGGACAACCGTGTTCCGGGAATCGGGAATTCAATTAACGCGTCCGCTGCCGCGTCAGTCGTACAGTGGCGTGCAGAAGTTTCCAATTGAATTCACTTTTCGATTTATATTCTGGAAGCGAGGCATGAAGGAATTTGAACCGAGTGAGGAAACAATGAATAGGATTTATTTGTAGCAGTGTCTTACTTAATGTTCCGTATTCTACTCGTTCGGTAGAATTCTTTTAAGCGCAGTTCTTAGTTTTTAATACGAAATATCAGTCCCGCCCGTAATTGTATATAAATCTTTGAAAATTAATTTTTCCAAATGTCAAAATACATTTCTATTCAACGGCGATCAAAATTCCAAAGCTTTTCAAAGAAAATCAGTGCATCTCTGTATAAAACATCGAAGAAAGAGAAAGAGCGCTCTTTCAAACGTTGTAGCCATATCCCTCCGTCAAATTGTATAAAATGTAAAAGTTTTTAAATAACAGTCTCGAAATCGTAAATTCTCGTGGAGCTACACGATTCCTTAAACCACTCCCTAACAATTGGATCCGAAAAAAGGTTAATTCATCCTATTGCCCCCGCCACACTCGAGGCAACACGAAAACCCCACGAAACTGCCATAAACACTCAGCCGCGGCGAGTGTTGTAAACCCAAGAATGCCGTAAATAAATCAAACCCACGATCTCAATTCCATGAAATTAACTCTTTCACCCCGAAGTTCGACGCTTTCACGGATTCCTGCGGAGAAAGACTTCTCGCGCGGTGATCATCGGACGGAAGGATCGCGTTTCTATCCGTCCAATAAGAACTTCGACCGCAATTCGCGTATATTTTTCTCCTGTCAGTCCATCCGGTGTGTTTTTATTCAATCTCCTCGAGTAGGTAACACTCGACCCCGGCAGCGATGCGGTCTGCCGTGGGGTTAGTCGCAAATGAAAACATTATCGTCACCCCTCGCGGGTCCGCCTGTTGCTATAATATTTGCCTACCGGTAGACAGTGCCGTAATTCGGGCCGCACAAAGGCCCGCGCCTTTGTCGTCGCATAAAGGCGAGCAAGAGTCACGGAAGCTGTCGCGTAGGTACACGCACGCACGTGTGCGACGCGTAAGCAGGGGCCGAGAAAGAGAGCGAGAAATGGAGGAAGACGGAGAGCGGGGACGAAGCGTTACAATTATTATGCATAGCTGCCCGAAACCCGGTTCTCCCATGTCAAAATATATTTATTGCCCCCCACCTTTGGCCCGTTTTTTGCGCTGGTTGCGGTGTGTCAGCCACCATTGTCGCCCTTTCATACGGTTATTACCCACTTGTACGTCTCCGAAACCTTCCAGAAGCGCAATCGCGATCCCCTTCAACGAATTAAAACGACGGCGCGCTGTTCTGCTCCGATTTCTCCATCCCAGTGGAATTCCTGAACTGGGAACAGCAATTCCAACGATCGCACAATACCAACGGCTCGTCGACTAATTTTAGGAGAAAGTCTATGAAAATCTGTAGACGAACTTTAAAAAGGATCGGCGGAGAAAGCGTGGACACGAAGAACGCCTTTAAATTAGCATCGATAAGGGGACGACACCTAGAGGATCGTTGCACGTTTAATTAACCTTAATCGCAACTGCGAGCTGCAGTTTCGAAATCTCGCGTTTGCGAGCGTCGAGCGAATATCTGGGAACCCTCTGCGAGCTAAGTTCGATCCTCGTTTGCATACGCGACCCTTCGGGATCTGACTTAACGCCTTTTCGACGTTTCACCCCTCGCCGGTCAATCGTAAAACTCACGACGAACGCGCGTATTATCTCGGTTATTGCGGTGCCTGGCGGGAAACGGAAGCGTCGTTCGAGCAGTTTTGGATCCGGGACGTATCGAGCCGGGTCACGTCGGGTCGGGGACCCGTTTCGAGCGGTTCCGATCGCGGAAAACGGTGCCGAGGCAGGATAAGTTTTCCGGAGGGAGTTTATCTCGATGCGACGTCCGAAGAGACATGCGTTTAACGGTACAGGGTCACCGGGCCCCGTTAGTTTTCTAATCTGAACCGATGAGAGCCGCTTTGGACTTCGATAATTTGCGGATACCGAGAATCACGCTACGACACGCTTCCTTCCGCTCGCGGTTCACCGCGGAAACGCTTTTGTCGTGTCTTCGATACGCATGGTTAACGAGATACTTAAATGTCGACGGCGGTTTCTTTGTAACTGTCGTACGTTTTAAAGAATTGATTCATTTTTAAGGTGCACAGGG